ATGTCAAATACCTCTGAAAATCCTTCATCACCAAGCAAATAAACAAGCAATTGAAATCAGGTAGGGAAGAAGAATCCTAGAAATCTGAAGATTCATTTAAGTCTGCTACTAAGGGGGAAGAAAGTAGGTCTTTCAAAACTGAACAGGTATCTTCTGATTCTAAAGTTTCTCTTGAGACAATTTCTAAAGTTGCTGCACATTTGGAGAATAGATTTGTAGGATGTATAGCAGGTATAGAGTCTACATAATCTGGAGAAGTTGGTGGTAAAAATGAAAAAAGGGATAGCAAGGGCGCTAGGAGTACTGTGAGGGGAAAGGGGACAAGAGTGGCTGATTCTTCACCCACTCCTCTTGGTATAATAAAAGAAACTGGTGCAATGGTTTTTTGGGGAGAGGAATTTAGTAAAATAGAAGAGAGTGTAAGCAAAACAGGGGGAAGTGGGTCTGGCGAAGCTGCTGAGGGGTTGGTTCAACTTGGCAAAAATATAGATGAACCCGTTCCATCTGAATAGGAAACCCTCGCGGACCTACTGATAGAGTTATCAATGGAACCAAAAACTCATGACATTCCCTATGGTTTTATTCTCACAACTGTGCTTGCACATTTCAAGGTACCTATGAAGAAGTGGGGTTAATACTCTGCTTGCTTGCGATTATGAAGTCAATGTCATTCTTAATGAACCCGGTTCATCTAAAAGGACACCTATCAATAGCAAGATCAGAGCTCTATTACAGGAGAGTGAGGCAAAGGATGTTGAGATAGCAAGGCTGAAGAGACGATTGGTTGAGGTAGTATCTGAGAGAGATGTTCTCAGAACTGAACTTGTAAGGAAAAAGGAGAAGAATGATGGAACTTCAAGACATGCTGAAACTTCTCCAAGCAAATAACCCAGCCCCTACATCTTTGAAGCCTTAAATCCTAGCCTAGTGTAGATCAACTAGTGACCCAGTTCGGGATGTTTTGTTTCTTTTGCTCATGTTTTCAGTATTTTTATTTCTTCTTATGCTTTGTAGTAGAATCTTATCAATCATCAATGAAATTCACTGCCTTTTGCTCAAACTGTTTGTTGATATTTCTTTGATGGTTAAAATTCTTAGCTTGATCTATGATGATTAATTCATGATTGCATTTGAAGTAGCCCCAGTGGCCATGAGTAAGTTCTAAAATCTGGTTATCTCACATTTTTTATGCAACTTTTCGATGATGCCAAAAGGGGGAAAAAAAGGTTGTGCTTTAAACAAGTGATGTTTACACTTTGAACAGTGATGTTTATAAACTAATTTACCTGGTCCTTGATGATAAGTGATATAAAGGAAAAATATTTCTGACATTGTGTTGATGTTTGAGCTGAGTTCTGGCAGGGCCTAAGTGTATGAAAAGCACAGTGTTTGTCATCATCAAAAAGGGGGAATTTGTTGTCCCAAGTAAAGGTTAGTTTTGAAGACTGGCAAAGGAACTCAGACATGAACCAGGTCCATCCAGTGGTCCATCCTTCAGGTTCACAAAAACTGGCAGATTCAAGCATGTGGGATGCACGTGAAAGAGATAAGCTTAACTTGGTGTATTTAATATCTCCTGATCGAAAAGGTTGCATAATTGATAAGGAGAAGGAGTCCTTAATCAAAGAGAACACTATCCAAGATAGGGAAGGAGTTAGAAGTTGAAATCAACTAGAACTCTTCCACCAAGGAAGAGTTGCATCAGAACTCTAGTTATTTCTTCATCTACTAACTCTATAAATTGCAGGATGTTCTCACATTAAAGGGTTGCACAAAAACGCAGAAGTTAAACGTGAATTGGGAGCAAAATAGCAAGGCTTTTTGCAAGCAATTCGTGTGTGATTCAAGTGTGCAAACCTGAAACTACAAGAACCAGATTGAAGAACCAGCTCCATAAAGAGTTTTATGTGTCTTTTTTTATTTCTAGTTCAATTGTAGTAGGTGTTTTATATTGTACCTTTCAGCTTTATCTAGAGCAATTGTAATAGGTAATTTGAGTATTCAAGTTAGAGTTAACTTGAAGTTGTCGCGGCAGTTAGAGGCTGGTTGCCACAACGGGATTAGAGTTAATCCTTAGGTTTACAAAGAGTTTTGTAAATGCAGTTTTGGCTCAGTGATTTTAGTGGAAGTTTGGGAAAATCCTACTGAGCAGTAGATCGTGGTTTTTTCACCTTTTGAGCCAGCTGTTTTCCACGTAAAAATCTCTGTGTTCTTTATTTTATGTACTTTTAATTCCGCAAACAGTAGTCGTTAGTACACCTAGAAGAACCAGGTCCTTCCAGAAGTAGTTTAAGCAAAAATTGGGTACCACACAAATCACCCCCCCTCTTGTGTGGCATTGACGTTTAGAACATCAAACGGCATGATCCGCTGCCAGGCCCAAACCTAAGATAAAAGGTTGATGTAAATTTATGAGTCATTTTCACCATATAGAATTCAGAGTAATGAACAGAGTATTCGAAAATGTTGTCACCTGTAGGAGGGGCAGAAAACCATATATGTCCACGGCTGGGCCCATGCTCGCCCGGCACATGCTCCTATACAGGTATGCGAGAACAGCAGCACCCCAGCTGTACTGGGATAAATCATCCAGCCGCTGAAGATGATGGAGAAAGCGCATACTCACAGTACTCCCCGAGTGTTCGTGAACAAGAAGCAGGAGCAGCGCCAACCGCATGTACCTCTAAATGTGGAGATCCTCCGTCTCGCCGGTAATGTCAGGGTGCAAAAACGCCATATGATCTCTGATGGCTGACAAAAGAACGCGACTACCCCCAGCGCCACCCTGAGGTCTATAACTAGTAAACTGCCCCATCATATCCAAAAACTGTGCACGCGTCATGGATCTAACGTACTAGGGCAGTGCCACGGCCAGTCCATCTATGCGCAGCCCGTACAAAACCTGAACATCCTCCAGCGTGATGGTGGCCTCTCCAGTGGGCAAGTGAAAAGTGTGCGTATCCGGTCGCCACCGCTCTGCCAACGTCGTGATAAGAGACCAATCAAGCTGCATCCGTCTAAGCTCAAAAATAGTATAGAAGCCCGTAGCCTGTAGGTGCGCGACTACGCGGGCATGGAAAGGATGCTCCACGATGAACTCCCACAAATCATCAGGTCTCCTGGGGCGGAGAGCCTGCTCCGATAGCTGTCCCTCCCATACATAGGAGGACCTATGGTTGCCCTGCAACACTAACAGCTGATCCTCGGCAGGTCCAGGATGAGCAGGCGGAGGAAAGGTCATGTCGTCTATTATAATTTAAACAAAATTAATTGTGTGTGTTAGTTTAATAAATTAAATAATTATTTTTAATATTGGACTGAGTAATTATCTATGGGTTCAAGGCTCGATGTTTGAGGCCCGGTAGCACCAAGCTATCCTTAATTATTATGTGTGCCATTTTCAACATTTTTTAGAAATTTATTTGTTTAATAAGTTAAATTAAAAATTCTTGAATTGGACTTAATAATTATGTATGCCATTCCAGGCTCGATATTTGAGGCCCGGTAGCACCAAGCTATACTTAATTATTATGTGTGTCATTTTCAATATTTTTTAGAAATTTGTTAGTTTAATTAATTAAATTAAAAATTCTTGAATTGGACTTAATAATTATGAATGGCTTCCAGGCTCGATATTTGAGGCCCGGTAGCACCAAGCTATACTTAATTATTATGTGTGTCATTTCAAACATTTTTTAGAAATTTATTTGTTTAATAAATTAAATTAAAAATTCTTGAATTGGACTTAATAATTATGTATGCCCTTCCAGGCTCGATGGAATTTTGTTAGATTAAAGAATTAAATTAAAAATTATTGAATTGGACTGAATAATTATGTATGGGTTCCCAGGCTCGATAATTGACCCCCGGTAGCACCAACTTATCCTTAATTATTATGCGTGTCAATTTCAGCATTTTTACAATTTTGTTAATTTAGTAAATTAAATAATTAATTATTGAATTGGACTGAGTAATTATCTATGAGTTCCGGGTTCGATATTTGAGTTATTTGACAACATATATTAATTTATTACTTTTGTAAGTTTATGTTTATAAATTGAATAATTAATTTTGTAAAGTGTTATTGAATAGAGTTTGCAGTTACTACATACTTAAGGCTTTATATTTTACTAGTAAAAAAAGGCTCTATATTTTACACTCTACGCTAAAAGGCTCTATATTTTACTAAGCTAAAAGGCTCTATATTTTACTACGCTAAAAAGCTCTATATTTTACTACGCTAAAAGATCATTGTTACATATAAAAACAAACATAACATACAAATATGAACAACAAACTAAATAAATAATATTCATTTATTATTTAATCAAATACATAACATTAACAATACAAATTATTTATCAAATTTTAACATTTTTTGTCCCAAAGCTAATAAATCAATCCGGGTATAAACAAGATACAAATTTACATACAAACATAACACAAATTAATATGGAAACACATTAAACAATACAAATATGCATGTACTATACGAGTGTCGACATAAACAAAATCGAAATACCTCGATTTAAGTTTTTTGAATTTGATTGAAAAAGAATTTTTGCACCCGAAAGAAGGAATCCAAAGCTTGTCTTGTGTGTGGGACCTATACTCTTTGCTTTTTAGGTGACGGGTGGGGCCCAAAATTTCTTTTTTTTAGAATTTGACAAAGGGTGGGGGGACCAGGACTGTGGAGGAGTTTTTTTTAATGAGGGGCAGCGAATTATGTTGGGGAAGAAGAAGAAGGGTTTATTTTATTAAGGCAATTCGCAATACTATACTACGAATTGCTTATACGCAGTATAGTACTGCGAATCGTTGGGCCCAAAAAAATTTTTAACTAATTCACAGTACTTTTCAGCCGCTAAAGTAATTTGCAGTATAGTACTGAGAATTATGTATTTAAGTAACATTTTTTTAGTAGTAAAAACGTGTTTTTTTTCCAAAAAAAACATTAGAAATGTTTCGGACACTAAAGATATAGGCATAACACAGAACCATTACGCAGAAAAGCAAGAACAAATACATTACTTATATCAAACCAGCAGAAAGTCAACATTACCATGTTTACTGTTTACAACAACTTAGTTCATAGCAGCATTATTTGGAACAAACACAAGTATAGTAACTGCGCAGTGACTGATGATGGCAATCAGAAACCATGAATCTTGATATGCTCTTTCTTCACTATTCCAACCTGTTCCCGAAAACCAAAGATACACAAATCAGCAACAAACAATAAAATCGAACTGTAAATTCAATCAAGCTAGAAAACGTATCAGTGATGGTATGGAAGTTGTTTCTTTATTCCAACTTGGGATCAGGAGATTTTCAGAAATAATCACAACAACAAAAAGACTCCCAAGACTGGAAGACCGGGAAAAAAATTTCTCCCGCATTCAAAATAATAGGGTACCTATTTGTGGTTACCAAACTCAACTAGCTGCTCAAAACTCATTTCAGTTGCTAAAGGAAAAAAAATCCCCATAATGCAGCAAGAACAGAGGATGCTTATCGAGTATTATATAAAAGGTGAAGTCAAGCATATGTCCGATACAGGTAGACAAATAACATGCTTTTTCTATGTAATTTTGAACAATAGAAAACAGCAGCTGGCTGACGTGAAGAACAATTACCTGGACAAGAAATGTTGAAACATTCTTTCGCTGATCACCCTGAAGTTGAATAACCTTCAAAGACAGAAAATACATTTACATTGGTCATGCATTAACACAACAGTGCCGTTACAGAGACGATATAGAGATCAATATCCATTAACACAAACCTGCCCCAATTCTGGATCCTGGACAACAGTGCCGTTGCAGCAAAATTCTTTCTTCAGATCCTTCAGAATTTTATTGTAGCTGAATTCTTTCTTCAAACCCTGCACAGTTGTCAGGCTTTTCCTACCGTTCCTTTGTTGTATACGGATGTGCACATAATCTTTTGTACCCGCACCAGAGTTATCAGCATTTGCCTCAGCAAAGGGATCTGAGGCGGACAGCAAAGCACCACAATATTATCAATTATAAAGCATAACTTGAACAATACAGCTCCTCCTAACTAGCAGGCTCATCATCTTTGCACATAAAATAACCTCTTCTGTACAAGTGCTTACTTGCACGGTTAAAATTTTTAAGTCACTTTCTTCTGATTATTCAAAAGATTCAAGTTATTGAATTAAAAAGATGGCAAGACAGAGAAATCCACCAAATTGAACCAAATAGGAATGTAAATTGAAGAAGTTGCATACCAAAAGCATTAGGAACTTGGAGGTCGAGATCAGACATGAAACTTGGCTGAAGAAAAAGGGTAACAAGAACACGTGCAACTCTTCAAACTTAGATGCTCCGACCTAGCAAAAAGAGAACCCTTCAGCAGTTAGTACAGCCATCTGTAAGCATAACACAAGAAAGAGAACCCTTCAGCAGTTAGTACAGCCATCTGTAAGCATAACACACGGGGCATGCGTAAAACAACTATGCAAGAAAAATCAAGATCAATATATGAAAGGGAAACTTGCATTTTTTGTCCCTGAAATGTCGACAAGTTCTTATTTTGGTCCTTGTGATGCTTGGTTAAGCACATTTTGATCTTCAATTAATTGAAATGTACACTTTTGACCCTTCTGCTTGTGAATCTTCACAAAGTTAATAAATTAACAACTGTAATACCGTATAGCTGCCCATGCGATATGTTAAATTTTGTACTGTTAATTAATATTTGAGGGCTATGTAAATAATCTAGATATAACACACTTCCTATGTAAAAAGACCAAAAACACAAATTTTAATTAGTTCGAGGTCAAATATGCTTAGTGAAATACCAAAATAACAAAAATTAAAAGTTACCAATAAGCGAGGATCAAAAGTGCATTGATCCCTATATCAAAAGTCCAAACCTTGAATCATAAAAAATGTGTCATCTAAAGGAAAAAATCTTTTTGTTGATAATCACCTAAAAATTCCATTCTTTCTTGTATGAATTACAGAAAGAGGTACAGGATAAGTGAAATCAAAATTGGAACAAGTAGAATTGGAATTGGAGGGTACTTGTGTAAAAGGAAGAAGGATAAAGCAACCAAAACAACTGAAACACCAATTAGTGATAAAGATGAACCCTTTATCACTAATAGAATTGCAAAATCCGTCTAAACACCAATACTTCATAACAAAGACAACAATCAAAGGCAAGAAACAAATCAAACAACCAAAATTAGGCCAAGAAAATCAGCGGAAAACAATAAAATGAAGAAAACGTAAGTAAAATTCCTACTTCTTCAAATAAAAATCTGAATTTCTCCGATAAAGAAGTACTCAACCAAGAAACGCAAATTCAAAATGGATCCGGCAATATTAAATTACCAATAACCCTATGATTGAGACATAAAAATAATCCGGGAATCCAAATTGAATGCTTACATCACTTCAATCTTGGTGGATATAAATATTTTGAAACTTTTATTTACGAGATTGTCCAATAATTAAAAGAGGTTCGTGCATATTGACTCGAATATTATTGTCAGAATTAAAATCAATTTTTATAAATAAAAAAAAATGGAGTAAAGAAGATTACCTGATCTGAAGGTTAAGGAGTGGAGAGATGAGGATGATTAGAGCAGACCCAAAATTCCGAGAGAGAGTAAAGTCAAGACCAAGAAGAATAGAATGTGGTTTCGATGTGAAACGATCCATAGAATATATGTTAGGTCGGTCGCAAATTATGAAACGTAAGTGGAGCTACTATAGGCTGCGTCACGGAGCAGCATACTCCTGTGCGCTCCTTATTAACTTCACCAACTCCAACTTGCTCTCCTTTTTCTTTTTTTTTTTTTTTAATCTTTTGATATTCGTTGGGAATTTTAATAAAATTGTAATTTTCGAGCGTAAGACCTACAAGTGTCTAACGGGTGGGCCGGGCCGGGCTGGATAGGAAAATTTAGGAACCGTACGGGTTGGGGTTCGGACCGATTACGGGTTGGGGCTTACCGGGTTTAACGGGCTCGGGTTCTTCCGGGTAAAAAATGAATCCTAAGGGTTACGGGTACAAGGGGCCGGGTTGGGTCGGGTTAGTGTAATTTTTTAAATGTATTTATTTTTATTTTATATAACTATTGTAAGTTATATTAATATAAAGTAAAAATATAAAGAATACAATGAAGATGGGAAAAAATTGCACTTATAAATTGCAAGTGCTACATTTATTTTAAAATTCAAACTTACAAATTGAAAGGTTTACATTTAACAACAAGTAAATTAACCAAAAAAGAGTAAATTCAAAGGTTTTGTATTGCCTTAGTAAGTTCGTCATAATCAATATGAACTGAGTGGCCTTCTTCTGGAGTGTTAAATTCGGATGGGTTACCATGTGTTAATATATCTCCAAGTTCCTCGTCTTCTGGGTTATCAACATCTTCACGTCCTTGATTTCTTCGTTCTGATCTAATCTAATCTTTGAAACATACTAAAACTTCCAAAGCATTGCTTCCCAATGAGTGACGAGTGTCTCCAAGTTGTTGTCTTGCTTGGCTAAATGCACTCTCCGATGCAACAGTAGAAATTGGCACATTCAGCACGTCCCGAGCCATAGCGAAAAGAACAGGAAATTGCTTTCCATTCTCATGCCACCATCCCAACGGTGAAAATTCCTTTGTGCGAGGCTCTTTTTGCTTCTGCAAGTAGAATTGAAGTTCATCAATGTTCCTGCTACTGGTTTGAGTGTTAGAAAATGTAGAAAAAATATTAAAACTATCAAGGCCTTCTTCATCATCCACAGTAGCAGAAGTGCTACAGTGCATAGTGGGATTAACATTGCCTACAGTACGAGCAGCATCATCAATTACATTTGCATAATAATTATATAATTGTTGTAAATATTCATTTAGCTTGTTCATACAAACATATAAATCTGGGGTTTCAGTTGGTCCAAATCTCCATATAAGTATATAAAGCATTCATTAATTGGTGACAATCAGACATCTTAATAGAAGGATTTAAAACAGCACCAATTAAGTAAATCGGAGGAATTGGAAAGAAATATTTTTTTTGAATTTTGCTTGCATTTTTTCCACAACATCCTTATATTTTTCTTTCTTCTTAAATTCAAATAGTAGAAAAGAAATTTCAGCTATATGTACTAAAGCCATAGTAACAGTAGGGTAATATGCTCCAGAAAACTCAACAGTAGCTGTATAAAATTTATGTAAAAATTTAACAACATCATTAATGACCTCCCAAGTAGTAGTTGTTAACATACAGTTTGGATCAGTACAATGCGCATTAGCAACTTCAGTTATTGGGAATCTATATTTGTAGCAATATTTTAAAAATATATATGTATAATTCCATCTAGTAACAATTTCGTCTGGCATGAATCTGGGTTTAAGGTTATACTGGACACACTTATTCTTAAATTCCTTTATTCTAGATTGTCTATTATTTCCTTGAATAACACCAACTGCTCTTCTAACATGAGTAATCTCAGTTGAAAATAAATCAAGGCCACTTTTAACAATTAAATTATAAACATGACATGCACACCTAACATGAAAAATTTCATCAAGTGGTGGTTGCAAATGCAGTTTTAATATTGAAATTGCGGCATTATTGTTAGAAGCATTATCAAAAGACATACACAATACTTTTTGCTTGAGATTATAAAATTCAACAACTTCACAAATAGTAGTACTTATAAACGCAGCAGTATGACTCTGATCTTCATCATATTTAAAAGCGATAATACGTTTTTGCATACAATAATTATCATCTATCCAATGACATGTAATTGTCAAATAATCATTTCCATTAACAGCATGGCCAATATCAGAAGTTAGAGAAACTCTACAAGGAAGGTGGCTAAACAAATAACGTATGTATGTTTGATATTGTCCATGAAGTCTAAAGATATCAGATCTACAAGTACTTCTAGGGATACCTTTAAATAAAAGATTGTAAATCCTTTGAATATACATAATAAGATATGATGAAGAAGCAAAAGAAAAAGGTATGCAACCCAAAGCAATCATTTTTGCTAACTCCTCATGATCCTTCATTTTATCATATGTCATAAGACCTTCAGTAGTAGGGTTTAGAGTTGCTTGATTTCCATCTCCATCAGAGCCCCATTCTATAGGATGCTCAATTCTCATGTCTACTAAGTGTCTCAGTCCCCCCTAATTGTCCTCCAGTCTTATGTTTAAAAGTATCATTACAAAGTTTGCATTTAACTCTATCATTACCTTCTATTCGTCAAAAAAATTCTAAACCTTACTTCTTTTTCTCCGATTACTAGTCGGGGCCACAAGTGGTCTACTACTAGCACCACGACCACCACCCCTGCTACCAGCTCCAACACTACTAGGTGTAAGTAGTATCTCATCTTCCATTTCTAATTCATTATCTTCTATACCGAAATCTTCCTGGAATTGTTCATAATCTATATTATTATCAGGTAATGTTTCATGAATATTTGTAGAGGCATTTAAATTACTACCAGATGCTGAAGTACTACCTCTTTTTTAATTTTTCCGATTAGTAACCTTATTACAAACTCTTTTTGCAATATTAAACATATTGTAAAAATTTAACTACTAGCAACAATTAAATATGCAAATAAAATAGTAAATAAGAGAAAGAGTTGGAGGGAGTGCACCGAATGCACCGAATTCAGCAATAAATTGAGCACTTGATGATTTCGCAACTCCAATGTTACCACGAAGAAACGTCAATTGTTCCAATTTTGAAGTTCAATTGTTCAAACTTTAAATAATAAATACTACGATAAATTAAATTCCAAAAAAAAGAAGATCCAAATAGTTGATTGCACTTTAGGTGAAGATTGAAGAATGAGAGAATATGAGAAGCGAGATTGAGAAATGAGAGATGAGTGAAGAAACGAAGAAGGGGGGGGGGGTAGTGTAGTTATAGTTTTTCAAAGGGGTGTTAAATTTTTTTTTTTTTTTTAAAAAAAAATCCAAAAATGGGCTATTTGTGAAATTCTGCCGTTGGGCAACGGCCATAATGGGAAAAGGACCGTTGCCAACGGTTAGATGTTAGGCCCACCATTAAAAAAAATTAGTTAGTCGTTATACCGGTCTGGGCCGGTCCGGTTAACCGGTTGAATAGTAAAAACCGTTGACCGGGTTTGACCGGTCCGGTTAACCAGTAGGATTTAAGTAAACGGACCAACCCCCTACCCCTTTAACCCAGCCCCACCCCGCCCCCTTGTACCGGTCCGGGCCAATTCCGGTTTTAATCGGGCCGGTACGGAAACGAGCTGACCCGACCCGTTAGACACCCATAATAAGACCCATTACTAAAAGAAAAATTATTCTATTAAGATTTTTTTTATTTATTGGGCTTGAATTAGAAAAGAAAATTTTGAAGAATTAGCCCTTACTTTCTGGAAAGTATTTTAAAGAAAAAAAAAGGGGGAATCTTATAGAAATGTCCCAAATAAGTCCCAATTTATCAACATCTAGCCATTAATCATAAACTTACCGAAATTAGTCAAACACACATAAAATTAAAAGTCCAAATAAATAAGATTCTTTCTCTCCAAAAATTACACGCAAGATCTCCTTCCATATTTTAAGCGTGATCAATAACATTAGATGCATGACGGAAAAGAAATTGTATGTATGAGAACAATTAAGGTGATGAAATACAAAAAATATGTATACAAGATTTCAAAAATCTAAGCAAAAAACGATAATTTTCAATGAGTTGGTTGAAATTCATTGAAAACATATAGATGAATCAATATACAAAATTTGAGAAAGATTGGAGGTGATTTGGTATCAAAATTCGTAGTTAAAATCGAGTTCAAAAATTTCTTCTGCGACGCATGTATCTCACACAAAGGTATACATGGATATACATGTGATACACATTTAATACAAATATGATACATATGTGATACACAAATGATACACATATCGTTTTTTTCATATTAATATTCTAATTCAAATTTTCGATTCAAACCACCTCAAAACTCCACCAAATCATCTGAAAACTGAGATTCAAGCTCCTTAAAATTTATTCAATCTATTCTAATTATACCCACTCAAATAAAGCAAAAATTTGACCTTTTTAGCTACAAACAGCTAATTGGCTAATATTTGAGATATTTGGCTAATATTAGAAATATTTTATGAATTGGCCAATTTTGTAATAAGCTACTTATAAATGGACATAACTAGTAATTTCCTAGAAAAAATAGTAGTTTAAATTACTTGCTTGGGCAACTTTTATAAAAGAAGGATTGAAATTTTCTTTTACAAGAAAAAAAGTTTTTTTCTATAAAATATGTATCTGGGTAATAGCATTTTTATTCAAAATTTTCTTTGTGTGTTTTGTGACTGAAGAAAAAATATTTCTTTGAAGAACAGCCTAAAACCAATTCTTTCAAAACAAATGTTTAAAATAACTTCTTGCGAAGCATCTTAAGAAAACTAACAAGTTTTTGGAGAACGTTTTTGCAAGATTCTAGTCTTTCAGATAATTTTTCACAATCAAGTAACCCAAAAAAAACTTATCAAAACATGGAAAACTTAAAACGACCTCTTAAGCAATATTAATAATTAAAGTATGAAGTTTACCTAGGATATTATGGGTAACACATAATGTTGGAACAAACCTTTTGATAGTAATCTAAACACATAGTTTACCCTTTAACCTTGCAGTCAAATCTCCAGGTAACACTCGTATGTTTACACACCAAAAACGCGCATAAAGACCATAAAAATCCCATATGTTGTCTCCCCTCCCCACAGGAACCCCTTCCCCTGGTCTTCTTCCTCAGACCACTCTCCC